ATATGAGGCTGCTTACGACAAAAACCGGCGCAGAGTCGATCGTGCTATTATTGACATAATCGCAGTTGAAGGTTAAAATGTCAAAATTATGACAAAAATTCGATTTTTTTAATTTCAACAAAAAACGATAGTTCAATGTCTATTGTAACATACCTCTAAATATCAGACCTACAAATTATCGCTAAAATGTTACATTTTGTGATTATATTGAGGTGATTCCTTGTGAAAATCCAAAGAAACGTCCAAAGAAACACGATCGAAACCATACCTTAATTATAAGTATCATATAAAAATATTAACTTCCAACGAGAAACAAACTGAAAACCGGTACATATATTTTATTTGAAAATATATATACAAATTCTTAAAATGATGACCAGATAATATAAGGGCCAATGCAAAATAATACTGGAATGGTTATTTCAGTTGTCCGTGAACTGCAGATACTATTTTGTCATTCACATCGTTAATTGTAAGTAACTCAAATAAACAAATTAAGCGATTCATATATGAAATTCAATTTTCTCTTTAGCTCATGACAAGGAATACATCTTTTAAAAAAGTTTGAGCAGATAACACTGATTATGTTGACAAGATTTTCCAGTGTTAGTGAGAAATTTTATATCTTGATAGGTTTTTTATCGAGCACCATTACCCTTTTTAAAGTTCAATCATGGAGGAATTAGTAAAACTAATTCCTCCATGGTTCAATAGAAGAATGTCATTAGTGTTGACATAATGTAGGCCTATGGAAAAAAGTTGTAAATCGTACATTACGCAAGAGGTTTTGCTTATTTTTCAACTCTAAAAAAGGGCACATGTTGTCACTATTATTTGGCTTGCAATCCATTGTTTTTTCTTTCTTTCATTCTTTCCTTCCTTTCTTTCTTCCTCCCTCCTTCCATTCCTTCCTCCCCTCCCCGTCTGTCCCACCCCCTCTGTCCCTCCCCACTCCCGTTTTCCCTCTCTCCGACTTTCCCTTTCACCTTCCTTCCTTACCAAATACAAAAACATATACACAACTTGCAATAGGAGGTTGAAAAAATAAATTTCTATAATCGAGTTTAAACACCTTTACGGAGAACATACAATACCACTGGTGAAACTAAACAAAAAAATATAAATACTAATAATATTATACTAATAATACTGTAATAATACTAATAATAATAATAATGGTTTAATAAAATATATTAAATTCGTTTTATAAAGAAATTGCTATTGACTTTCCTACCATAATTTTGTCCCTTCAAAAACGATAAGAAACTTTCCCAAAGAAATACGAGGTTGTGGAACAGCTAAATTAAGCGGGTTGTTAAATCTGGTACCATGAGAATGATCAACAGTTAATGAGTAATCGTTAAAATTATGAAGAGTTTGGTTATGATAAATATCAGAAATACATTTAAGAACATGTACTCTATGTAGCTTATAAATATCTAATTTTTTAAGTTCATGAAACAGAGAAGACGACTGTGCCTAAACATCGAAAAAAGCAATACATCTGACAATAATTTTTTGCAACGCTAAAATAGGCTTTAAAAATGATTCGAATTTACTTTTCCAAACTTCTATACCATTATGTTATACGGTACCATTGTTTACACATCATATCAAATGTCTGGTGCTCGTGTCTGTACCCCCACTCCACGACACCACCATTGAAGTCCCATAATAAAACAGGCTTCCTGTTAGGCAACGAAATTTCTTTTAAGGCAATAGTATTTCTCTATTTCTCGGACCATTTCACGTTGTTGAACTAATTAACAAGCTCGTGGTCTCCACTCTGCTAAAAAATCATTACTAACATCTCGTTCAAAGACTTTTTATAGTCCGCCTCTTCTCTTTTTATTTATTCATTCATCATCATCATTATCATCACAATTATTATTATTATTATAAAAAGTGGTTCCTTGCAGGGTGTATTTTTTTTTTACAGTAGTTAAGCGATTGCTGTCACGTAATAAGAGGAATAAATGTGCGATTTTATTTGGCCTTGAGTCAAGAAATGTTTGTTAATATACTATACTGTTATCACATTTTTCTTTTCATTGTCTAAAAAAATTAATTAGAAAAAAACCCAATTTCAGTGTATTCCTTGATAATTTCTTCTAATTAAGCCACCTACCTTGTGTTGCCGGACAATCATCATATAAGTCGTCTACTTTTTCAAGTTTGAATGGCCCTTTAGTGCGTCTGGTACTTCTTTCACCTTTGTAAAATGAAATCCCATCTAAATTATGTTGTAGTAGATGTAATATTGTTACGTTACTTGTTACTTGTTGTCTTATCTGTATATTCTATGGATGTTTCAGAGAGCTTATTCTTGTTCAGATATTTTAAACACTTCGATGCTGCATTCTGAATGAATTGTTAAATTGATAAATGAAACTAAAAATTATATTAATATAGGCCTGTAAGTAAATGTAGTATTCAAAATAATCACATAAGTTTGATAAATATATTGAGAAAAACCCAATAAGCCCGAATGCTTGTTTCTGCAGGAATTCTTAATGTGGTAATTAATAAAGATAATGTAAAACTATTTCACCTTTTGGTTTTCTTTCAGTACTGTTCTCGAAAGTCATTAACTGTTTCATTTTCACATCAACATTCAATTCACCATTTATTACTTCTATTCCACTGTCAAGTAAATTCTTCCAATACCTTACTACATGATCTTTTATATAATCGACAACGCCATCTTCAGGTATTTCTGACACATCAAATATTCGCTGCATTGCGGACCTTGAAAAATATTTTTTGATATTTACTGCAAAAATGATAAAGCCCAAAATACTGATAAATTACAATTGAACATTGTATTCTGTTGTATATTACAAAAAGTTGTTTTTGTAGAATTTTACAGAATGTAATGTCAAAATTAGCTTATCAGAAATAATAAGGTTTTAAGAAATCAGTTGCTTACTGTCTCTCCATGCAAATGTACCGTAAGAATTGTGATACGGTATTGGAATAAGCATATCAGTGAAAATATCGTTCAACGGTTCGCAGTCATTGTCATCAGAAGCGGAACATAAATGGGATTTCATGTCAAAATAAAGTTCACCATTTTGTAACACAGCAGTATATCTGTTAAAAACAAATTGGTTTCGTTTTTGTTTATTAATTCGACCACACAACAAAATAAATTGTCGGAGGCAGCTTTAGAAAATGAATTACTCTAACTCTCTCAAGTCATCTGCCACCACAGGCTGCCCTTTTATATTTTTGTATACACTCACAAGGATTATGGGTTCGGGAAATAAAAAATAATCGTAAGTGTAACGATTTGAATTGATTTAGCAATGATAGATAAAATCGGACAAGGTTTAACATTTATAAGTAACGTCTGCATAAAAAGGTACAGAATAATTGATTTGCTATTAATGCAGTTTCATAAAAAAAAGGCATTTTCAGATACCTAATATTTTAGAATAAATATTAAATAATTTAGGGAGTCGTTCATTTTTTGCTTAGAATAACGCACAATTGTCGGTAACTCTGGGTCCTACTAGACGCTACACGGACCTACACAAAAATTAAGAAGTCATTGATAAAACACACGACGCGAAAGTTTTTAAGATGCTGGTTAAAATCACTTAATACCTTAAACATTCGAAAAGAAGCCCAATGCATTCTTTTTGTTATTTGGATAGACCCCTTTTCAAGACGTGTTTTTTCGAGATAGTCTATATTTTCTAGATTACTTTTGAAATCTAAAGAATGAATGCTGTAAATATTATTGCGAATTGCTACTTTAAAACAATATAACTACTGTAAT